ATACAGGCTTGGGACAACGTGAGTGAGTAAATAATGACAGAAATGCAATTTTAGGATGAACAATCCCTTTAATGACAGTCGACAGCATGTGTAATACTGTCCCTTTAAGAGCTGCACGCATCTAATATACAGGCACGCATCCATTTTTCTCTCAACTGTTTGCTTTCATTTTAGATGTAACCAACTGAGTCTATATGTAAACCTTGTGTGTTTTGACAGTATTAGCGCAAAGGATAACTTAGTCCAGTAATCAGGCGCTGTTTGACAGGCTTTTTAGTGCACGTGCTTCATGTGTATGTGATCAGAAAATCACACGTCAGAACAGCAAATAATGTACATTTGAGTAGCGAATAAGTGCAGTGTCCCGTGAGAGTAACTCTGCCGCTGAGTTAACACTGATGTGAATGTATGTCACATTGTACAGTATATTGAGACGGAGGCACCGGAACTGTAACAGATATAATGTGTGCTGTAGCACGATACTACCATATTTCTTCAAACATAGAAAGAAACATAGAAAGAACTTCTTTATCGTCCACGATCAAAAATCTTTATATCGCACACCCCTAGAAATGGGATGGCCCTTCTAAAACTAAATAAACTGTGTAGCAAAGATTAGGGATGGGCGGATCAATCCTTAAGTATCGATACTTTCGATACTGCATGTTGTATCGAAAGGATCAATCCTCACATAAAAATATTGATTCTAAAGTGCATTTTTTTAACCATTAATTTTATTTATTTATCAAGAAATTCGGGGCATAAAATAAGCTTCTAAGTGGAAAAATAGACTATATTAGCGAATAATTGTGTTGGATAGAACCATTTCTCCTGCTCATCGGAACACACGCAAATGCTGAAAGACAGAACCAATCAATCACAGACAGCGTTCGCTGCTGACGCATGGCTCACAGTGCTTGTTCAAATAGGGCTGCGTTTCCCAAAAGCATCAGAGGCGTAAGTAGATCTTAAGAAACCATTGCCACATTATTACATTAAATAACATTGTTACTATATATAAAATTAATTCTGAAAAATGCATCACGGTTTCCACACAAATATGAAGCAACAATAATAATAAATGTTTCTTGAGCAGCAAATGATATTATAATTATTTCTAAAGGATTATGTGACACTGAAGACTGGAGTAATGTTGCTGAAAATTCAGCTTTGATCACAGATGCATTTTAAATTACATTTTAAAATATATTAAAATCGAAAATAGTTATTTTTAATTGTTATATTTCACAATATTGCTGGTTTTACTGTTTGTTTGTTTGTTTGTTCAAATAAGTGCAGCCTTCGTGAGCATGAGATTACAAAATCTTACTGACTCCAAACTTTTGTGTACATGTAATATTTATTTAAAATTGGCTAGTTTGTGTAACCATGGTTTTATTACTGCAACTATACTGCAGTAATATACTGTAAACAATACTGCACAGTTTACCACAGTATTTGTAGTGAAACTGCAGTAACCACAAATTTGCCATGGTAATAATAATAATAATACATTTTAGTACGCATGTAACACCATGTTTATTTTTCATGAGGTATCCTCAAAGGTGGACCTTTGAAACTTATCTACCCTTAAAGCATACATACTTGTATGGTACTAATATGCTCCCTTTTAGGGGTATAGTTGCACCTTTGAGGTTACTGCCCCAGTAAAGGGCTAAAATACAATTATAGTATATTTTATTTCTGACAGTGTAAACAAAAAAGGCCTATGAAATGTTAAAAACATGGCTTTAAAATCTAATATTAAGTGAGTATAATTACTGATTATATTCTTTTAATAATTTAAAAGATCAGTTTAGTTTATAGGTATCGGTATCGACGATACTGGGCTTGAAAATATCGGTATCGGATTGAAAATAAAATAAGAGGCCCATCACTAGCAAAGATTTACGGTTGACTCGTACACATGACCTAACCTCAAAACGCCACCTGCAGGTTTGTTCAAATTACGTCACGGCACTTCCTTGTGAACAAAATGCGTACCTCTGATGCTAATTGGAGTTAACTACATTCTCATGTTAATAGATTATTTTAAACACTAAGCTCTTCTCTGGGGGCAATTAAGCAAATCCTAATGGTGAAGACAATATGAGACAAAAGCAGGGGTAATACAGCCACATCCATATGGACTTTACAGTGAGGACCTCTTTCGCATGTGTATTATTAGGAGTGCAGTGGTTTGTCATTTGCATTTGAGAAACGAGATAATCCTGACCCTTAGGCAGCCGCTGACCTCAGGTACTAGAACAGCCGCACAGTTTATGGCTAATAACGGAATCATGACAAATAGAAAATCCTTGCCGAATAAATATGAGCAATATGAGAGAAGCAATTACTGGGGAGTCAGAACCCGGCGCATTTGCGAAGATTCATGCCTCCACAAAGTGTTACAAGGCGCTAACACACAGGAGGTGAGGTTTAACGACTCAAGTTCTTTCCTCAAGTCTGCACTCATCCCCCTTTATCCTATATGACTACTACCGACCGGTGAGCTGTCTTGACCCCCTGGCCTCCCGCTGGCCCTCAGTTTGTCATTGGGCCTCCCCCAATGGAGGAGAATATAACCGAATTGGGCCAGCGGGGGATCCGGACACTTGCCACAAAGGGGGAATGGTATGCAAAGAGTTAATCTGTGTTTGGGGTCTTTAACAGGAACAAAGGACAGCAGCAGAGACAAAGGTTGATGGAAGGGGTTTAGAAAAGGGATGGGCCATGTCTTTGCCCCACCATCTGGGCCTTTTGTCTGAAGGAGTGGGGTGGGAGAGCCAGGCCCAGGCAGACGTGCCCTCTGTAAAGGCTGCCTGACCCAATAATACACCCACTGCCACGGGTCAAACCTCAGCAGGTTAAACATACAGTTTGACGGCTGGTGTCACAGCCAAACTTAAAGGGGTCATATAATGCGATTTCAAGTTTTCCTTTCTCTTTGGAGTGTTACAAGCTGTTTGTGAATAGATAAGATCCCTGAAGTTGCAAAGACAAAATAATGATCTTTAAAACAGCATCATATGACCCCTTTAAGTCTGGATTAGTATAAATCAATACAGTGAAAGTTAATGCAAACAATCTTGTAGTCTGTAATAGATATACTACTCTCTCTTTATGGTGGAGTCACTTTTAAGTTAACAGTGAGTATATTTTCAGTTTAACTGTATCATTCACACTGTTGGTTAACCAGGTCAGGGTTCAACACCAATTGTTTTTTTTTCTGCTTGCTCAGTTGGGACATAGTTCAGATTTTAACTTGCCCTGTCCACATTTTTGTTGTCCACAACACAAAAAACGCATTTAAAAATTAAATTAACTAACTTTAATAATCATTTTTACTAGTGGTTAAACAGATCGTAGTTGATCCGTGATCCGTACGGACCAAGCCCCACGGTTCGGCACGCATGTGATCCGCGGATTAATTGCAAAATTTAACCATAATAGAGTATAAGTTTATCATTTGTTCGTATTTACACAAGCAAGCGAATTTTAAACAATCCCAGAGAGAAAAGGCGAAAGGGAACTCGATTCGTTACTCGCGCGCTGTTCTCGCACACAGCCGCACACACATGAAGCGCGCACACGCGTTTCAGACGGCGCGCGAACACCGAACTCAATCCTCTTCTGAATCCTCTGAACCGACACATACACATAAAATTATGACAAAATACCCATCTCGACCATCATTCAGGTAAACGCAGTCAGTTATGTCTCAAGTGAATGAAGACAGCTGAGAAAGAAATCGGATGTGATGTGTATCATTATATCGGATCCGTGCATCAGGTCTTAAAGGGACAGCGGCCTATAAATACTGCTGCTGTCATTAATGATCATCAAACAACAAAACAGCTGTGATAAAAATCTATATTTAATTTATACAGTGAACACTATGCAGTGTTATTTTCCCTAATTATTACATTTCTGTATTTGACTGTATTTGGTTACTACCAACCTTATTTTATTTGTAACATATTCTGTTGTATTTATCTATGCTTGTAATTTGTGTATTTGTTCTTATTTCTACTGGCTGTTCTCTTGTCTCTTTAATCATGTTTAAACTTTCTTAGTTAATCTAGTAGTATTTGCTATGGTATCAAAGAAGTACTTCGCTTTAAGTAATAAATAGAAAGCAAGTTAAATTGAAATATTTTTCTTTTCTTGCTGATCCAAAAAATGATCCGATCCGTGGGTCAAAAACCGTAATGTGATCTGAACTGTGAGATTTGTGATCCGTTGAACCACAAATTTTTACAGAATGAAAAAAAAAATAATAATTAATTATTTTTAAAACTAGAATTTATTTATCTTTTTATTTTGCATATAAAAGCAATTTTTTTTCTCACATCGAATTTTTTTTTTTTTTTAAATACAGTTCTTATAATTAGACAGGAATCTCCAAGACAGCAATAAGTAAAAAAAAAAATTCTGGACATTAACATTGAAAAACATCACTGTCTGATTTGTATTTTTCAACACACTCTAAATGACACTACTAAGATTATCACGAGTCATTTTTGTGGATTTGACAAAATCTCATCTGACATCCAGCTAGATAACTGTACCTAGCTGACAAGCTAAAAAAGTTGACAGGCAGAATCCTCCATCCTTATTGTTGAGCCCTGCAGGTGCAATGCGATACAGTGACAAGCAATAAATCCTAACTGAGTTTTTGCTTAAACCAGCCATAACGAGCACCGCATGATGATGAGACATTTGAGGTTTGCTCAAACTAACTCTGGATAACAGTAATAGTGATGCTTGCCTTAGTAAGCACTATTAAGTATGTGCAGATGAGCTGTAAATTTTGTAACTTCACGCAACATTTGAATTGAGAAATAACTTGCAATGTGCCTGGATTAGACAAGATGTCAGAGCATCAATAATAAAACAAAATTATTTGTCCATTTTGAAATACACACTTATTAGTACTAGCTTACACACAGACAGATAGACAGCATGTATAAAATATAAAGAAAACACATGAGACCTACCACCACCATGAATGGAGGAATCCAGGAGGCTCTCCAAGCGTAATGTTCTTCTCCCATCGGATCTACAACAGGCAGTGAGCAGGAAGAAACGAGAAAAAGAAATTGTGAGATTGTAGATAATGTAACATTCTCCTGTCAGACATTGTGCGGTCTGCTCTCTGACCCAATCCAGATCCCATATATCATCCTGCTTTCTCCACCACAACAACAGACTTGTTTTCCTCACATCCGTCTATGACACTGGAACTTAAAATGTCATAGGCAGAGAGGAGAAAGTCCTTCTAGGAAGCCCCTACATATGAGTTCGGAAGTCATAATTCAGATGTGAAGTGCATTAAAGTGATTTTGGTATAAAATCAAAATAAATAAAGTGAGCAATTTCATATTTTTTGGACTAATACAACAGAATAATGGCCAATGTAGTTGCCATGCGTGTTATCAACTTAATGTCATTTCAAACCATGACTTTCTTAGGGCCCTATGAAATCAGTTTTATTTTTTTCGGTTTTAATATTTCTGGATTGTATTTTTTCCATTTAAATTTTCCTTTAAAAATAATGTTTTAATAATAAATTTGTTAGTAGTAGTAATACTATCTAGGGATGCACAATATTGGATTTTTGCCGATATCCGATATTTTTCAACTCTTTTTGGCCGATAGCCAATGCCGATATATTTCCTTTTGTTTGGAAACAACACCAAGTCTCTCCTATGTAGAAATAAGCAAATTATTTTTAATTTTGGTTAGTTTTTAACAATAACTTATTTGTTAGAATTAAATAAACAACACTGAAGTTATTTTAGAATGACAGAACATTGAAGCTTTGAAAATAACTATAAATAATCTATATATCAATCGCTGCAATTTTTTTTTTCAGAAAGATGCAGTAGTAACCTTAACATTTTATCTTAAGATTTAACATTTGTAGATGATCTAAAGCAAAAGAGTTGTAAAAATTCTGAAAATATTTTAGAGCTCATAATTTGTTTAAAAAAATATAACATATTACACATTAATGAATAAATCAGTATAGGCTATATACAATTATTTAATTTACAAGTGTCATGTTTGTGATTTTTTTTTTATTCATGTAAGCTATAGCTTCTGACCTTTAAATCAAAACATACTCATGATTTTATGACATCAATTACTGCTTTATTTGATCAGAAACAGTCTAAATGTTATTTGTGTATTTTACTTTAATTTTAATAAAAGTAGGCCAACAGCGCCCCCTACGGAATCAAAACTCCTTACCGTACGGGCATTAGGACCCGGGGGAGGCTGCCGCTACACTGAATGCATCATTCTGTACATGCATTCTCAGTTTAAAATGCAGCGATCCAAATCAGTGAATCTAATCACCATTCAGGCAAAACTTTGCTTCAAAAACGAGTCACACTGCTGACAAGATCTAATCGCTAGCACACTAGCACATGTGAGTTAATGTATTCCTCTTATCGGCAAGCCATATCGGCATAAATTTTCATGCCTATATGTACATTTAAAGCCATTATCGGTCGATTCCGATATCGGTCCGATAATATCGTGCATCCCTAATACTATAATTACATTTAGACATATTTCTGTCATGATTTCTTCAAGTTAAACTGAACTTTTATTTTGATGCGTTGCTGTCAAGACCTTTAGGTTTCTGTTTGTATACATGATGATAGATTTACTCAAACAAACAGTAAAATGCTCATGAAGTGACTCTCAGAGCAGTTTTAGACATTATGTTCATGTGTTCAGTGTTCACACACTGCGAGCGTCACACGCACTTCAGTATGTGTGTAGTTAACGAAAGTGCACATCTGCGCCATTCATTCACGCAGAGACACGCAGAACACGCAGGATTTATATTTAAATGGTATTTTTGGCTTAAAGGAGTCTTATTATGCTTTTTCACTTATTCAACTTTAGTTAGTCTGTAATGTTGCTGTTTGAGCATAAAAAAGATCTGCACAGACACAAATTTGACAAATTCCGTGACAGTCCACGTTATACAGTAAATTTCGTTTTTATGACTGGATTCTGCGATTCCGTCCGCATTTTCTGCATTGTGGAAATCATAGGGCCCTACTTTCTTCTGTAGAAAACAAAAGAAGATATATTGAAAAAATATATATATTTTTTTTGTCCATATAGTTAAAGTTAATGGGGTCCAGCGTTGTTTTGGGCCCCACTGACTTACATTATATAGACAAAAACAGTTGAAATGATCTTCAAAATAGCCTATCTTTTTTTTGTGTTCTGCAGAAGTCAACATCCACAATGCAACTGTTAGTTATAACGTTGGTAAATAGGACTACTGCAACATGACTTGAAGGTAGCGCATATTCTCGGCAGTTATTACTCAGCTTCATCCTGGTCAATCCACCAGTGTGGAGACCTACAGCAGGCTTTAGCGATCCAGAGCCATGACCCTCAAAATTAATCATGGCTTCTGTTTTTCCTACACTTCATTCAGGCCTTGGGGCTCACTTTCACCCTCCATCCCTTTTGCTTGTGTGGAAATGACTCTCATTAAGGCCATAATTTCAGTGTATTTAAGAAATGTTCTCCTTTGTAATAGGTGAGTAGAAGGACCTGAACTGACCATGGAAAGTGCGGGGAAAGAATTAGCCTATTATAACAATTATATATGGATGATTACACAGGAAAATGTAGTGAGAAAAAAAGAAAATCTAAGAGGATAGAGAGGATAGGTTTGTTCACTGCAGCTGAAAGTGGATTACCGAAGCAGGTCTGAAGGTTAAGAACACATTATCAGTAAATTTCACCTCGTTGGCCTGCCAAACGGCACGATAAACATCTGACCAACTTGCGGTGCTTTCGAGAAGTGCTGCAGAAAGTCAGGGAAACAATGCCAGCACGAAGCAGAGATGCCGCCAAGCCAACAGGGAGGAAAAACACCCTGGGGTAACAGAGCAATGGACGGAAATGACTGCTCACAAACAAACGGCAAATAAAAGTCCTGCCAGTCGGTTTATCATAAACAGCTATAAAATGAAATTAATGATGAGTAATTAATGAATATTTTTGCTCATGTACACACATACTGGCCCACAGATTCTGAGACTGTATAAATATGGGGAAAAACAAACAATTCAGTATAGTTCAAATCAACTACACATCACTACACTAATGCAGAAGTGTCAATGTTCTTATTAAAGTGAATATCACCCTAAATTAATGCGCATTTTGAAGTATCGCATGAGAAACGAGTGATGGAAACGCCAAATTTAGAATAAAAATCCCTTAATTCGCAAAAAAGTTTTTACGCTCGCTTGAGGTGGCTTTTGCCTTGTGTGAAAAAGGGTAGATGCAAATAATGGGAGATGGAAATGCATTGTGACTTTGCGCTATGGGACGGCAAAACCTGACTAACCAGTGGACCGATCTCATTCCACAGCATCTGAAATGTCATTATGGTCATTCCAAAATGCACGAGCAAAGTCTGTCATCAAAGAATTTTTGTATAATTGCCTCCCAGAAATGTCTTACACGACTGCGTTCCCAAACAGCAGCATCCACCTCTGAAAGCAATGACCTCAGTCATTGTGTTTCGTCTGCTCGCTCTGAGGCGCAAGTAATTTATTATATATGAAAATGATTATATTCTCCTACTTTTCTTAGTGATTTATAGTGCCAGTTTATCAGGAAGTGACGATTTTGTTCTCTTTGACTTGTTGGATGGAAACGATGCTTGTTTGCAGATGTTTTATGCAATATTCCAGTTTTGCGCAAGTTAAATTCGCAACTTTGGATGGAAACCCGGCTAATGTTACTGTGGCAGTACAGCGCAGACTCACAACATCCTGACCCATTCAAATGAAACAAGTGGATTTATTTTAGATTTTATTGCACTGCAGAAAAGAAGAGGCTTGATAGGAAACATGCTTTTGTAAGTGATGCCATATCACCACATTAGAAAAAAATTGTATTGCAATGCTTGACACACTGCACAAAATATATATAGTGTATTATACAGTACATTGTGTAAAATGTTCAATATATACAGTATTATGTTTATAAAAATGGCAACTTGGTGAATGATGATTTATATGTGTTTTCTAACAAAAATATGTACTAAAGTCATACTAAAGAGACTAAAGTGTGTGTGTGTGTAAGCAGAGTCTTACCTCGGAAAGGAAGGTCTGTGCTGATTTCTGGGCCCCAACATGCAACAAGTACTCGTACACGTATAAAGCTAATCTAGAAGAGAACAAGAGAGGAACAGGCGTTATATTCAGGGCATGAGAAGGAAATTCCAGATTTCTCTGCAAGTAAGCAAAAAATAATAACTCCAAGATGACAAGAAGAAATTTTAATATAAACTATAAACATTTTCATTCAATAATAAAAAACTAACATAAAATAGTAAAATAGTTTATACTGTGTGCTGTCTTTTTGTTTATTTGAATATTGCATCATTATCCTTGAAACACACCAACATCAAACATCAACATCAAGTCAAGCTCCGTCTGCTGATCGCTATGTATGTTGCTGCCTATGTAGTGTCAAAATCAGTCACTTATATTATAAGGTTAGAATTCTGCCTAAGAAGGTAGCTGCTTATGTAGACAGCTAGCGAGGTTTTAGAACAGAGATATAGAATTTCATTCCCAGTTGTGTGCCGTCACTCTAGTTTGGATGTTGTTCAAAAGTTTCAGAAAGAAAATCAGTGGCTACAGACAACTCACTAGAGATTGTTGATCACACAAGTACACATGAACACACAAAACACCCATCAACGGCAGCGACCGAATGTCCGATCTCCACAGCCTATTTGCACCGTGAAAAGAACAGAAAGATCAGCCAAAGCATGCATAGCTGGAGTTGTCACGGCAATCTGACGGCACCATCGTGCCTCTTGTGTTTTTGTCATTTTCTGTATCCATTATGTCTGTTGTTTAGCCGCTTGGGCTAGCAATTACCCAGCTCCCAGTGTACCGCGGGGCTGAAACTGTACCATCCCTCTGCTCCTATCCTTTCCTTTTCTCTTCCATCAGCCATGAGAGAAAATAGCCCTGCAAAGCTCTCCTGGCAAAATTACATTCAGAGACAGGCACAATTTGGTAGAAACATGGTTTTAGCCTGGCTGCAGTGTATTTGGGGCAAGAACATTTATTTCCACCATGGGTAAGGCAATAATGGCATACACAAGAGTGGCACTTCCATGACGACGTGTGTTGACGTCCAAATCTGATGTCTCAACAAAGAAATAGGCTAGTTTGGTCATTTTATTTAAAATTAAACACCGACTTAAAGTGATAGTTCCTAACCTATTTACTCATCCACATGTTCCAATGATATTTTAGAAAATTTGGTTGGAATGGTGCTTTTTGTTCATACAATGAAAATCAATATGGTCCAGTGTTGTTTTGGACCTCAGTGACTTTCAGTGTACGAATAAAAACAGCTGAAACATTCTTTAAAATATCTTCTTTTACGTTCCACAGAAGAAAAAAAGTCTTACAGATTAGAGGTTGACAGATTATCGGCCTGGGCAATTATTGATGCTGATATAAGCTAAAGCATTTTTATGGTTATCGTATTGGTCATTTTCAAAATCGATTTGCCAATAAAATAATTTATAAGCATTTAAGAAAAGTTTTTGTCAGAGCCCTTGTTATTCTTAATTTTGACATCTATTTTTTACACAAGACATATCGGTTCAAAATATTGGTTATCGGTCTACTTGATCTGTAATAGTAATCGATATCAGCATCAGCCCTGAAAAATACATATCGGTCGAACCCCATTCATTACAGATTTGAGGACGAGTAACATGATGACAATTTTTCCACCTTTTCCACTTTTAAGACTAGATACACTAAAACTGAGAACATAAAATGGGAAACAGAAAATGTTGTGAGCCAGATTCAAACTAGTGTTACCCACATGAGTACTACAACTCAATGTTCTGGAGCATAACCATGTGCCAACCAATAACCACCATTTAAATACCATATAAAAACCATTGACAATCTTGAAATCTGTATGATGCAGGATTATTACTGTTAACTACAACTATTAAAAACATTTGAACTGAAATAAAACTGAAACAAAAGAAAAAAAATAAATATTAAGATGGAAAACTTAAACGAAACAAAAATTTTGTAGAATTTCGTGAAAAAAAAAAAAGTTTGTAGCACTATAATTACTAACTGGAATCTATTAAAAACTAAAACTAATCTAAAACTGAAAAAAAATTAAATAAACCTAAGTAATAATTTAAAAAAAATGACAAATGCACATAATACAATATCTAAAAATTTAAATAAAAAATACAAAAATAAAAGCCAATTCAAAATATTAATAAAAACTAAACTATAACAATATATAAATAAAACTAAGATAACACTGTTCTGATGGAACCTTCTCTCCAACGCACATACAGTGGGCAGAAGCGTGTATTTGTGTGGGAGCAGGAAGCTTTCCCAGGCATCAGCTAGGAGGTGAATGAGTCAGTGGAAGGAGGCGCCCAGGGTGGCAGGCTCATAAATAGCAGAGGAGAGCCCCCTCTGATCAGCCAGTCAATGACTGTCATAAAGTTGGATATGAAAGACAGGGAGGAGATCCAGCACTCCATCACTGCACAAACACTGACGCATTGGCACGGGAGAGTGACCAGAATGACAATGCCTCCCACCGAGAGACAGTGGTGGATAGGGAGTCAACGACGACCATAAAACTGTGGATGAGAGGTTCAAACAAAGTCCATCTAAATGGTACTATTACCACAAAGGATCTACGGAATAAGCAACTTAAGCAAGTCAGCAATATCTAAGGTTTTAAACTTAAGCTGCATTTCAGTTCACCTGTTAGCCATGACAAACAGAAGCAGAAGTGGGCGATATGGCAAAAAAAAAAGGCAGAATCATGATCTTATCACAATTCTTTTCATGTTGGTTTTTAAAGGGATAGCTCACCCAAAAATGAACATTCTCTCATTGTTTACTCACCCTCCTGTCAACCTTTCAATGTTTTGATGTAAATAACAGCCTAAATTTAATCTGTTCACCATATAAAGCTACCACATCTCTTCACAAGACTTGCATTAAACTGATCGATTCATATGGATTCGCTTTATGACACCTTTATAACCTTTTTGGCTCCTCCATGTTTTGGTTACCTGGACTTTTAATGGAGGGCCAGAAACCTTGCAGGTTTCATTAAAAAATATCTCAATTTGTGTTTTGAGGATTAATGGTTTTGTAACGACATGAGGGTGAGTAAACAATGACAGAATTTTCATTTTTGGGTGAACTATCCCTTTAAGACTGAGCCTAACTAAATTCTCTTAAAAATATATAGCCCTACAAGGTAACAAAAGAATGACTGAACATGTACATCCAGAATAACAGGTCAGAAAGTCTAGGTTTTGTTACAAAAACTAGAGGGAGAAAGTATTAAACTGCTTCAAAGAAGAAATTGGCCCTAATGTGTTAGTTTTCGGAATTGTGGCATAATTATTTATTTAGCAAAAGCCATTTCAGTGAATATCACTATACATTTCAAAGCCTTGCGTTTGAACGGCCCCCATGACACTCATACAAGCTCTGTTAAAGAGCATAGTCAGGAAAAATGCCATATTTAATTTTACATGAATGAAAACGAGGCTGTTAGGGTATAGTCCGTTCAGATGTTCCGTCCGTTCAATCAATAGTCACATCTTTTTTCCCCTAGAAATTTTCTGAAAACGGTATTTGCAATATAAACAAAGTACACAACAGTATAAATAATTGAACATACAGTACATCTGTCTCTCACAGCCATTTTTATATTAACATATTAATTCATATTAACATACTCTAAAGTCCATAGCTCCTATACTCTCTGTAAGAATAAACAAAAACATATCGGATACATTCTACCATGGCATTTTGTCTGTAGAAGTGCACAAAATAAACTACAAGAGACTTGTCATTTGGGGCAAATCACAAATTATTTTGTGTTCCAAAGTAAAAACTAGAGCCCGACCGATATATCGTTTTGCCGATATTATCGGCCGATATGAGCCTGTCGCCGATATATCGGTATCGGCAAAAATGCTGCCGATATGAACATTTTTTTACAGAACATATAACGCAGATAAAATGCTTGAAATGGTGTAATTACTTAGTTTGTCCAGCAGAGCACACTCCATTGTTTGCTACTGGCGACCTGGATGAAATGCTTTAAAGCTTAATTCTATGGAAAACCATTGAAATTTGGAACGGCCATATCTCCGTAATGGCACGGCAAATCCGCACCAAATTCGGGGGATCCCTTCAGCTCGAGGAACCCTCTCGAACGTGAATCGATTGTACGTCTCGAGGCCCTCTTTCGAATGAGACCACCCCCGTGTCGATAGCCCCCGGGGTTCGGGAGTTATGGGTGGTTAAAGGGGTCATATGATGCGATTTCAATTTTTCCTTTCTCTTTGGAGTGTTACAAGCTCTTGGTGCCGCACCAAATTCGGGGGATCCCTTCAGCTCGAGGAACCCTCTCGAACGTGAATCGAGTGTATGTCTCGAGGCCCTCTTTCGAATGAGACCACCCCCGCGTCGATAGACCCCGGGGTTCGGGAGTTACGGGTGGTTAAATTCACGGTCCGGCACCGAACGATCAAGCGATCCCGGGGGACTACCGACGTGCAGAGGGTGGCGTTTGAGAGGGCTCCTCGAGCTAAGGGATCGAAGGGATCCCCCGAATTTGGTGGAGATCCGCCGGCGCATTCGCGAGATAGTGACACCAGCCAA